GAACCTGGAGGCGGAGGTTGCAGTGAGCCGATATCGTGCTATTGCACTCCAACCTGGGTGATAAGGAAAAAAGAAAGAAAGAAAGAAAAGAAAAGAAAAGAAAGAAAGAAAGAAAGAAAGAAAGAAAGAAAGAAAGAAAGAAAGAAAGAAAGAAAGAAAATCATCTCACAGATACATGTTTCTTGTTATCTGGGATGGGGCACAAAACATCCCAAATATGTGTCTAGGAATAGGGCAGTGGAATGAAGGAGGGGGAGGCAGTGACAACTTAGACTGTTATAGATGCTGTATCCATTAATCTTCTCATGCACATCTTTCTTTTTCTGATGGGAATTATATTTATTTCATTAATGGGTATCGGGAAGGCTCTGGAGAGGGTAAACAGATGAATAATCCACAGTCCCTGTCTTTAAAGGAACTGTAGGGAGAAAAGGGAAGTGTGGTATTTACAGAAAAGCCATCTACGTGTTTGAGCATTATATCAGAGTAGGCTATTGTCAAACAGCTCTGAAATTTCAATGACTTAACACAATAGATGTTCATGTCTTGCTCATACAAAATCTATTTCCTCATGTAGTAGTTTATGGACACAAACTCCTTCCATTTTCTGACTATGAGATATCCTAGAGTGGGAGTCAGCACACTGTGGCTCATGGGTCAATTCCAACCTACCTACTGTTTTTTTTTTTTTTTTGAAACAGAGTTTCCCAGGTTGTAGTGCAGTGGCGCAATCTCGTGTTACTGCAACCTCTGCCTCCCAGGTTCAAGCAATTCCCCTGCCTCAGCCTTCAGAGTAGCTGGGATTAGAGGTGCGTGCCACCACGCCCAGCTAATTTTTGTATTTTTACTAGAGATGGGGTTTCACCATGTTGGTCAGGCTGGTCTTGAACTCCTGACCTCATGATCTGCCCGTCTCGGCCAACCTACTGTTTTTAAACATTTTTTGGTAAATAAAGTTTTATTGGAAGACAGTCACACCTGTTCACTTCCCTTTCATTTGTGCTTTGTAGCTGCTCTCACATTGCAATGGTAGAGTGAAGCAGTTGTGACAGAGACTGTATGGTCCATGAAGGTTAAAATATTTACCATCTGTCCCATTACAGGGAAAATTTGCTAAGTCTTGCCAGAAGGCATCGGAGTCCAGTGTTAGATTCTCTGATTTAGCCCACAGAAGGAGGAGAAAAAGAGTGGAAGATTATGCAAGAGGATTGATGGACTATGTCTGGAAATGGCTTTCTTCAATCCCACCTCACCCTGACTTCAATGGAAGCCAGGAAATGCAGCCTTGCTATTGCCCAGAAGGAAAATGCAAAGCAGTTCTCCACAGACTGGTACTGTGCTAGACTCTTCCATTCACTCTTCTTTGTGTTCATCAAAACAACTCTTTAAGCTGGGCATGGTGGCCTGAGCCTATAGTCCTAGCAACCTGGGAGGCTGAGGCAGGAGGATCACTTGAGCCCAGGAGTTTGAGGCTGCTATGATCTTTGATCACACCTGTTAACAGCCACTGCACTCCAGCTTGGGCAACATAGACCTTGTCTCTAAAAAACAATCAAGCAAACAAAAACCAAAGACAGAACTGCTTTGCAAATGACTTATCTGAGGTTCAGAGAGGTTAAGCAACTTGCCTCAAGGTCACCCAGCATCAAAATAGTTGTAGCAGCGATAAGATTCTCATCATACTTGTGCTATTCTTTCTGAAAAATCTTTTTAAATTGTGGTAAAATATAGTAATACTTAACATGACACGTACCCCTCTAACTGTTTTTAAAGTGTGCACTTCAGTGGCATCTGAAATGTGTTCTTGAGGGTGAGAAGCTTCTTAGTTGTTAATAAGAAATTTAAAACTTAGGGTTTTCATTTCAATGATAATCTTAAAAAGGTAAACAGATTCATCTGGGCAATACCTTTAAACTGAAGACTGACATGAAATTTCTGAACTTAAGTTTTAGTTTATGTTTATTGGTGCCAACGGTAATTCTAAATTGTCATAGGCTGGTAAGAAGGGGCTGAAATGGATTTGATACTGAAATTATTCCTTTAAGCTTTTCCTATATACTATGAACTAAGGAATGTTTTGTAGTAGTTTACAAAGAGAGAAAAGTGGTAGAAGAATTAAGCGATACAAATGACATAACTATAAAGGCATGCCATATCCAAAAGAATCTACTCCATTGAATGCAAAGCGATGTTGATATTTGAGAGGTAATTCAGTTTCCACAAAACAATGTCATCCGCATATTTTATTATTGTTTACTTATAAATCATTGGTTTTGTGGAGTTTTTCTTTTTCATTTAGTTTGCAGTTTAGTTTCACCATTGTTTCAGCATTGGTATGCATGAAGAATTGATCTCTAGTTTTATGCTTGCACATGTTTAAGTTACATAATAAAATCAATTTAAATAAAAATATGAGAGGTCTAGAAGAATACTTTCTCCTTGAAAGGTATGTGTCTATGGCTGAAGTATAAGAGTGTCTACCCTACAGAGATAGTTCTCTTTTACAAAAGATTTAAATTTGAATTAGGAAACTGTGCCAATGAAGACAAGCTAAGTTCAGCTGCAATAACAAGCAAGCCAGAAATTCCAGTGGCTTAAACCACTTACTTACATTAAATCCATTGCATATTGGTAAAGAGCTCACGGTGCTTCTTCTGTCTGCCTACAAACTCTTCTTGGTGTTAAAATATTCCATTTACTGAACAAAACCAGCACATGATAAACTGTTCAGAAAGGAAACTTGCTTTTACTTTTCAGGGAGGGACATTTGTATGGCCCTATAGGCATATATGGTCCAAGAAACTTCTGCCAGTTTCTTCTAAATGTCTGCCTACAAACTTCTCCTTGTGATAAAATCTTTCATTCACTGAGCAAAAACTATATGATGAAGTGTTCAGAAAAAAAAAAATTGTTAATATTTTTCAGGCCTGGATAACTGTATGGCTCTATAGGCACAAATGGGTTTAAGAAGCCTCTGCTAGCTTCTTCTACATGTCTGCCTATAAAATCGTCTTAGTGTTAAAATCTTCTGTTCACGGAAAGAAAACAGTACATGATGAACTGCTCAGAAAAGAAGCTTGTTTTTACTTTTCAGGGCTGGATATCTGTACAGATATCAGGACCCAAACTGATGGATCTAATCTCAACAATATTTCCGGTTGAGGAGAACAAGTGCTCTGGGGGATTCTCTCACCTGCAGATAAATGTGCTGGATCAATTAAGTCAGATGACTGCGCCAGACTTCTAGAAGAGGAGCATAGTCCTCAGGTGCAGCCAGGATAAGAGTGAACCAGGCATCTGTTACCAGCAGTCATGTCTGCAACAGAAAGCATCCTGCATCTTTTTATTAAAAAGTGCTCCACGGCATTGTTCTGACACTTTCTATTCCCTACTAAAGCTTCAGACAGCTTTCTAAATTTCATAGGCAGCTGTGGCTTTTGAGTTACACCCCAAATCTGGTGCTTCTTAGCCACACGGTATGGGCAGATCTAAACATGCTTCTCCTCTGTGAAACGGGGCAGAACTGTCAGTTGCATGGTGTGTTGCGAGAAGTCAAGGCAGTAACTCATGTGAAACTTCTTTGTCAAATTTAAATTATTATCCAAATGAAAATATTATAGCAGTATTATTCTTGGCAGTCAATCATGCCACACCAAGGATAAAGAATAGACAGTAATGATTTCACCCTATAGCACTCATCACACAATCAATATTTTCTCACAAAAGTTTCCTGAAAATCCACAGAAAAACTCTTTAGGTTATCAGATAATGAAACCTATAGAGAATAGCTCTTCAATATAGAAGCAAATTTCTCCTCTTGGATAGAAAATGACAAAGCATTTTACATGGCCCCAAACCTATATAGCACACTTTTCTAGCAGATTTCCACGTTTAAAAGATTTGAGGTTTAAGGAAAGAAGTACTATTTTGCCTAAGAAACAGTTGTTTTAAGTTGAGATCAGTATGAAAAAATGAAAAAAGATTCACAAAATAGTGTTGGGGATGGAGACACAGGAAGATTTTTTTACTGTAGCATCAACTCTGAAACCCAGATACCTCAAAATTCTAGCTTAGTAGAACTGAGTAGTACCCTGAAGTTCATGTTGTCTACTCTTGTTTTCTAGGTGTCTTATTCAGCTCAGACAGCTATAACAAAATACCACAAACTAGGTGGCTTAAGCAACGAACATTTATTCCTCACCATTCTGGAAGTCAGGAAGAGTGAGATCAGGATGCCAACGTGATGAGGTTCTAGTGAGGGCTCTCTTCCTGGCTTGCAGACAGCTGCCTTCTTGTTGTGTCCACATATGGCAGGGAGAGACAGACAGAGAGAGAGAGAGAGACAGATGGAGAGTACACGCTAGTTTTAGTCTCTACCTTTTCTTTTAAGGACACTAATCCCACCCTTATGGCCTCATCTTAACCTAATTACCTCCTAATTATCTTTGGGAAGTAATACCATCACATTGTGCATATGAGTTTCAATATATGAATTTGGCAGAGCAGAGGAGCGGGGCAAGGCTGAAACATTCCGTCAGTAACACCATATGAGGAAAAGAAGGTCTGGAAAAGTTAAATGACTTGCCTTAGATCATGTTATTAAATTCATGTTGATTAATCAAATATTTTTCCTTTTTGCCAATCTGAAATTATAGAATTGAACATGATGTGGAGAGAAAAGTTCCTTTACTTCTGCATACAGTTGCTGATAAAGCCTTTTTGAGATGGGTCTCTCTCTGCCACCCAGGCTGGAGTGCAGTGGTATGATCTTGACTCGCTGTAACCTCCGCCTCCTGGGTTCAAGCGATTCTCCTGCCTCAGCCTCCTGAGTAGCTGGGACTATAGGCGTGTGCCACCATGCCTAGCTAATTTTTGTATTTTTAGTAGGGACAGGGCTTCATCAGGTTTCATGATGTTGACCAGGCTGGTCTCGAACTCCTGGCCTCAGGTGATCCTCCCACCTCGGCCTCCCAAAGTGCTGGGATTACAGGCATGAGCCACCTTGCCTGGCCAATTGCTAATAAAGTCTTTTCTAATCTAACCCTGTGTAACTCACTTCATGATGTATCTGCAAGTGGACTAAGGACACACTGAATATTCTTGTCGAGGTCTAACAATAATTCTGAGATTCCTTTTAAGTATTTGTAAAATTTAGTTGTTTTCCTTATTTCAGAGGGTTCCGGATGTTTTGACCCTGGGGAAATGTATGAATAGATTAAGAAAATAGATTCAGATTTCTAGTTGAATGATTTCATTATCTGATTATTTTATTTAATTAGACACACAAGTCTACTTTTCACTCTAGGAGAAGAATTTTCAAATTGTCTCCCAAAAAGAAAAGAAAAGATGAGTTTCCTTTCTAAGTGTATTAGTCAGGAGCGGCTAGGTTATACTGAAGTACAGAAAAATCTCTGGGATTTACAGTAACAAAGGATTATTTCTCATTCTTGCTAAATATCTATGGGTGTTGGAGAGGTCTCCACTCCACACGTCTGTGCCAGGGGTGGGATGCTGATGGAAACTCCATCTGGGGGGCAGCAACAGCTGTGCCACCGGGAAAGGGATTTGGTAAACTGCACACTGGCTCTTCATGGTTCTGCCTGTAAGTGACACATCTCACTTCTGCTAATACGTTATTTGCCAGATTAAATCACAGGATCACAGCTAAATGCAGAGTGGTCAGAATACTTCCATCCTTCTATGCACCTGGAAGAAGAAAACCCAAAATTTTGGTGAACATCTCTAATGGCCACCATACTAGGAATAAAAAAGGAAAACAGAATACACCCCAACTTTGTCAAAACGCCAGTGTCTCACACCATCAATATGAATCAAATTCCCAAATATCCATCAGCTATACAATAAAATACCTTAACACATTAATAGAGTTTCCTGAATTCATTTCTTCATCTCTAACAAGAGAATTGCATAGAATGGAAAGCAAGTACAATAAAGTAAACTAAATTGGGGCTGGGGTGAAGTTTCTAGAAATGGCTTGTGGGGCAGCAAAATGTGGAGGCACGTTTATACCTTTTATGGATTTTATTAGTCTCATTTCTCGGAGGAGAAGTCATGTGTTTATGACATGCCAATACTGGTGAAGTCTTTCCAAAATAATTGGACAGTAGGAAAGTTATAGCTGTAACAGGGGAAAAAGTTCATTTTCACCTAAATTGCCAATAGGAATATTTGTTTAATGAGTCACTCTAGAAAGAGATGTTACATCTTTAAAACTTGACCTTTTTGGGAAATGTCTTAAGGTCTAGAATATGTTCAGACAACCTTCATTTGTTTCTTTTATTTGGATACAATCATTTGCTTAGACATGTATTTTTAAACTTTTAATATAGTAGTAGTAATACGTTATTTTATTTGAGTTTTCTTTTATTTGGATACAATCATTTGCTTAGACATATATTTTTAAACTTTTAATGTATTGGTAGCAACAAAGTTTTCAAGTAGGGAAACACTTAAACTAGCTCAGAATCTCCCCTAAATTAAAAAATAGAGTTTTGTACTTTCCAGAATAATAAGCATTTTTTTCTTTTTCTTTTTTCTTTTCTTTTCTTTTTTTTTTTTTTTTTTTGTTTTTTGAGGCGGAGTTTTGCTCTTGTTGCCCAGGTGGAGTGCAATGGTGCGATCTCGGCTCACTGCAACCTCTGCCTTCTGGGTTCAAGCGATTCTCCTGCCTCAGCCTCCCAAGTAGCTGGGATTACAGGCACCCGTCACCACGCCCAGCTAATTTTTTGTATTTTTAGCAGCGACAGGGTTTTGCCATATTGGCCAGGCTGGAACTCCTGATCTCAGATTATCCGCCCGCCTCGGCCTCCCAAAGTGCTGGGATTACAGGAGTGAGACACCGTGCCTGGCCAATAAGTACTTTTATAGACTTTCTTTAAATCTTTCTTGGTAAAGATCTGCAAAGCAGGAGGAAATTACGAGAGGCAAAGTTTGCTGGTTTACTGTTTTATTATATCTCTCCCCACTACCCCTTAAATATTTGTAACAGAGCAAGGTTAACATTAACACCCTAACCACCATAAACTAAAAATATTTATTACACAATTCATGTCTAAGATGCAAATGAATATATAACAGTAAGATGATTTCATACAGAGGTACAGTGAATTCTGTGTGACTAGGGTAAGTCAATTTTGTGTTTTAGTTTTTTTTTGTGTGTGTGTGTGTTTCAGTAGTTTTGAGTTATTATAATTAACTGAGTAATGACTAGAATGCTATATATCATGTAATTCACATTGTTTTTCTCATTTAATCTCCACAATAAACCTACTTTCAGAACTGAGGAAACTGAGGATGAAGTGACTTGACCAAGGTCTGCTAGCTACTTAGCAGAGGAATACTCTTTAGAGATAAATAATTGCGGTGACATTTCAATCAAAATATCTGATAACTGCAGTGCTTTCCCACACCCAAGTCTCTAGGAGAAGAAATAATTTAAATGATACATTTATTCGTAAACACACAAGTATTCATTCTGTGTCTTTTCCTATCACAAAGCCCATGAGAGCTGAATAAGTCTGCAATACAGAGGCTAAGAAAAGTTGGCTCTGGCATCAGACAGGTTGACTTGGGTGAGGCTCTGCCATGGTACCTTGGATGGGTACTTACTTTCTCTAACCTCAGTTTCTTCATCTGCAAAATGGGAATCAATATTGGTGCTTTCCTCAGGGTTTTGCTAGGAAAATGAAATAAGACAATATGTTTTTGTGCAGTACAGTGCATTAAACGCTCCATAGTATGAACTTGATATATACTAGGCTTTATTGTTGGATAAACAAGGATAGTCATGGCTCCTCTCAGAGGAGCTCCCTGATTAGGGAGAGGAGAGAAACGTTTAAATAGCGTTTCCTGTCCAATGTGATGCGAGCAGTAGGGAAACCAGGGAAAGGCACGAAAGACTGCCTTGGAAAAGTCTAAAAAGGTTTCATAGAGGTGACCTTTGAGCTGGTGATTATAGGGGGAGCAGTGCTTCACCGGATGGAGAAGGAGGTAGACATTCCGGCTATGTCCAAATGTGGGGTGGAAAGCCGTGTTTGGGGACTTCAATACTCAGGATAAGGGAACATTGGAGCGAGAGAAAGGGAAATAATGAAAGTGCATGGAAAACCACTAAGTGTGGGACCTTGGGGGCTTGGACCATAGAGGGCCGTGGGAGGGAAACTGGAGGAAACTTCCCTCCCGAGGGAGGGAAACTAGAGGATCGCGAGGTGGCGCTGTGGCTCCACCTTAAGGGAAGATTCCGGAGCCCGCGGGTCACCCGCACTCCCAAGGCAGCCTCCGAGAGGTGGGGCAGCGCGGTCTTGGTGGGTTTGGCATCTTCAAGGCAGTTGCCAAAAAAATGACGTTGATAAAGATAATAAATACATAAGCAAATAACCCGGAAGCGGTCCCTTTTAGGACACACGGCAAGCATCAATAATCAGAGACGGTCCGCGAGGAAGGAATAAGAGCACGGAACTGTCCAGCAGGGACCGTTCCCAGCTCAGTCCGCGTAATCTGTGTGCCCGCAGCGGGAACCCGCATCGCCTGCCGGGAGCTGAGCTGTTGGCTAAGCCGCGTCTTCGGGCGGGTCCTGCGCCCTGCAGGCGTCTCTTTACAGCCAAAGGCATAGCAGTCTGCATGCCTGCCCTTGGGCCCTCGGTCCACACCCTGCCTGGACCTAGATATTTTTTGATTTTTGGTGTTTTTCTTTGTTGTTGCTGAATTTCATACGCACAATTGTACACAAAACCACGTATGAGTTCAGACTTACACACGTGTACGATGCTCTTGCACAATACACACGGACTTTTGCACATGCACACCCCACTCACTTAAAGTAGACACGTCTACACATGACAGGTACACACACTAGACACATGCCCACTCACGCCCGTGTGCACCAATACCTTAAGCACCCACGCACACATCCAGCCAAGTGCGCACTGTCACTTACTGGCACACACACTTACTGCACCGGCCCACAAATGTGCAGCCACTTTTCGCACATGCAAACATATTTGCACACACATATCATACACATCTCGCATCCCAGTAGCCAACAAAGACCTCGCAGCACGCAACGGTGTGTAAATATCCAGCAAATTGCCCCTCGAAGGAAGTATGCGTACAAACTTTTTGTTATCCAGGCATCTCGAGCTTGTCTGCTAAATTCGCGTTCCCTCCTCCAACTTTCCCCTGAGTAAATAGGCCTGTTAGTCCCTGTCTCCTCTCTGAGAATGTTTTAAGGACAAGGTTTCTTCCATAAGGTTTGCGCTACGGAAGGGATGCTAATTTTCAAATTGCTGGGAAGCTCCCTTCTCCCACCCCAGAGCCTCCTTCTACCGACGGAGCAGGGACCTTCCCAGATAGGACTCCAATCTCGTGGGCTAGCAGACTGTGAGCAAGGGCCACCGGGTGGGATATGATCGCGCCCTGGGGCATCCTCTGACTTAAAGATCCTTTCCGGCAATGCCCCCAACTGTATTCTCCCGACTCAGAATGACTTCAGCTTTTAGCTATCTATGGTCATTCTAGGGCAGAATCAGCATCTCCCCTATTAAAGCACATCCACAAGTGTCCAGATTTCTGTCCTTCGATGGGCACCAGGAACATCCCTGCAAAGTCAGATACTTAGTCTGTTCCAACTGGCGAGCTTGCGTGAGCTCTAAGATCTCAGCTAGGACTGGGAGAGAGAAGGGACTGATAGGAGGTCACATAGTAAATGTGACAGAGCCGGGGCCCGGGCTGGCACGTCCCTGGCGTGCTCTGTCCCTGCGGGCCAGGACAGAGAAGCACATCGGTAACTGACCACGTGAATGTGCACTCAGTACGCACATTAGTTAGGACGTTTCATAATCTTCCCATTTTCTCTCTCTCCTCTGCTCCCTGCCCTCGGGAGGCACCGTGCACGCTCGCTCCTTTCTCCTCCCGGTTGCGGAACCCGGGCCCAAGGGCTCCACAGCCAAAGGACACTTGAGCGTTTGGTGGCAAGAGATTCGCACCACAGCTGGGTGGACGGTTTGGCTCTATATTTAAGGGGACAGGCTCTGGCGATATTCAGGCTTGGCGACTTTATTAACTGTTGGCCGTGGACAAGTTTTTCAACTTCGCTCACAGGGCCTCCGTTTGCTCACCTGAAAAACGCGGAGTGGTCTTATCTGCCGTGGTCTGTGGCGGATATTCAGTGAGCTCCTGCCCGTAAAGCCTTCAACAAATGGGATCTATTATTATCTGGGGCCGCCCGCGGGGGAAACCCGAGAGAGTGGGCAGGCTCGCCCCGGAAAGATCTGTAGGAACCCCTTGCCCCAGTCTTCTGGCCCTAATCAAACTAAGCGCTCCCAGCCGGGGACAGAGCCCCGCGGTGTTGTTTGCTTGGTCTCTGTCTTCTAGCCGTCTGTGGGTGTCTTTGTCCTTCTCTAGGCCTCAGTTTCCCTGTATGTACCATGGGGGGGTGGGAGGTGAAGTTGCGCTCCCAGGGTCGGGAAGTGTCGGTCATACTGGGCCAGGAAAGGTGGCCTTCTCTGGAGCGCAGAGAGTCGGAAACAGAAATCAGATTCTGGATTTCCAGTGGACCCCTGGCCTGCTACTCCCACGCGTTCCCCGAGGACTGCGCGTGGAGATCACCGAGGAAGAGAACCACGGATTTGAGGGCTGGCGGTGTCTCACCGTGCTCCGCCACTCCCGGCATCTTCGGGGTGCCGTTCATGGGCCCCGCAGAGCTGCACCCCCGCGCAGGTCCCGGCTTTCCCAGGCCCCGGGGCCACCACTCACTCCTATTCTCCACCGGGCAGCGCCGTAGCCCTTACGCATCTCCACCTCAACCCCGACTCCAGGTTGCTGGTCGACTCCTCTGGAGCGGCCGCAATCTGAGGGACTTTGCGCCTTGGCTTAGGTCGTCCCATCTTTCTTTTCCCCTTTCCCTTCCAAACACTGAAGTAGGCATCTGTCCTCCCGCCTCGTTCGAAGCTGTCCCTGGCAGGTGGGGAGGGAAGGGGGCACGTCCGGGGACGGTTTGCCCTTCTGAGGGCGCGCCCTCACAAGGCAAACGGAGATCTTGAGAATTTTCAAAGTGACAGGTCCCAAGTCTGGCCTCCTGGGGGCGGACGAGCAGAGACGATTCCCTCTTTTGCTGGGACCTTCCCACGGGTCTTAGCTTGGCTGTACGTATCTGGTCTTTTCTCTTTGGGGAGACCGGTGCGTTTCTACTGGAGCCCCCAGAAATTACTAGTAGATGTTGCCTTTCAGGAAGGGGAATTGATTTCCCTGTGCCTCAAGAGGGTTGGGATAGCCAAGGAGCAGAAGGTCAGGGTGGGAGTGGGTGGGTGGGGAGGGCTTGCACACTGCCCTGGGCTTCCTCCAGGCCCAGGTCAAGAGATCCGGAGAGCTGGGCAGCCCTGGGAGCATCTGAGGAGCTGTGTATCCTGAACTCCCACAGCTGCAGAAATTTTGAGGAGCTCAGCAGGGAAACTAGGCTCCAGGGGAAACCCCAAACTTCTCTAGTTTTTCTTTCCAAGTGTAAACTCATTCTGCTGTCATTTTTTCCCCACGCAAAAGTCTCTTTTCCTCACTCATTCCTTCTCTTCCTTCTTTTTCTCTTGATTGTATATATTCAAAAATCAAGAGTTTCCAAATAACTTTAAATACAGATCCCAGGGACCAACACACGAGGTTGCGATTCTGTGGGTGAGGATAAGGCCTGGAAATCTGCATTTCTAACAACTGCCTGCACCCTTCCCTGTGTGATTAGCCTGATGAACCCAGTTTGGGGATTACTATTATAAACTACCCTAAAGTCAAATCACACATATGCTATAAAGCCCAGGCAATGCTGTACATACAAGAATATCTCTTTACAGGATACCTTTACTATAAAGTATATACCTAAGGTAATTGTGATGGATAGTGCTTGAAGTATCTGCTTTCAGGTATGATGGCAATCACCCTCTACACACATGCTTTGTCTCTGGAGGTGATGCTACCCTCACATGAAGATTTAGAGTATTTAAGAGGTTCTTTTTCAAAGTTTAAAATTACAATGCTGGTTCAATATTCACCAGAGAAAATCCACAAAAAATCTACTGCTCTGCTGGCCTGGGTGTCATTTCCAGTTTTCTGTCACTCACTCTGTCTCTCTTCCACCTTCTCTTTAGCCTCCTTCCTACTTAAACATTTATTACAGGATGAGAAAGCCAGGTTGAAAGCACAAGGACACTCAGAAGAAAAGCTATGAATACACTCTGCTTGATTAAAATAAAGCACACTCACCACCCCAGGTGAGGTATATGTTGTCTCTGCACAGCCAAAGGGAATTAGTCTTATCAAAATATTCCTGCCCCCTTTTATTTTTCTTCCTTCTCTAGCCTGGCAGGTATGGAAATTGCCTCCCTCATATTTAGTTCATGGAGAGACTGGCTCTGGGGTAGAAATTGAGCTGCTCAAGACTTCTTGCTTTGTGCCACTTTCTCATTTGGGTCAGTCAGCTTCAGGCTCTCAACAAACGCTTCCTTTGCAGATGCTTCTAGATTCTGCTCGACCCCAGAAATCCATCTGCTGTGTGTCTCTTGCTGATCCTGGACCTGACGGTGTCTATGCTTTTCCTTTCCCTGGCACTTTTGTCACCTTCCTTTGGCAGTGATCTGCTCCCTTCTTGTGTGTCCCTCACCATTGGGGACATCCCACCAGACACAGCTGGGAGTCCTGCAGTTGAGGACTGTTTACTGGAGAGTAAAATGGAGGTTCAGGCAGTTAAAGGGAAGGAGGCCTAGGCCTTTTGCCAGGGCTATGTGGGACCCATTGATAGGATGGGTGGGCTTTGCTTCCTGATCTCCTTACCTTCCAGGATCCTCTCTGAGCTGGAGAATATGGCCTAGGCAGGGGGAGGGATTGACTCTGGGGACCCCCTTGGACCTGGAGCATCAGGTTAAGTTTGGAGCTTTAGACAGTTTTTAGCAGGCCAAGTTTCAATTGTGCATGTAAATACTATAGAGAATGAAAATGTTCACATACCTATCCCCACAAACCTACAACCCTTCGAGCCTCTCCACCATTATACCCTTCTTCAACATGAACGCTATGTTAGGAACCCTTGTAAATGCTATGGGGATCCAGAAAGATCAGACCAATCCCTTCAAGGAAGTCCTGCAAGAGATGGCATTAATTATGGTACCAGGGTAAAGTGCTCAACACACAAGAGATCTAGATTACACATGTGAGAGCTGGGCAGGCCTTGTGCACAGGAGATAAAGCAGTGTTTGAGGACAGTGGCCATGCACTGCAGGCCAGGACCACACTCTTTCATCCAGTTTAGGAATCAGGAAGTGGCTCCACTGCTCTGCCAAGAGCACAAAGCATAACTCTTGCCTGTCTCTATTCAACATGGGCATATGTACTTTTCCATCGCTGACCCCATGAGCTTCTTAAATCAAAGGACCAAGGAAGGCCAGCAGAAAGGGGACCTGGATTTCTGGCAGAGAATTTCCCCGAAGGAGTCCTTAGCAGATTTGGCTGCAGTCAGGGAGTTCCTTTAAGGGCAATGAAACAGAAGTTCACCATGTGCTTATTAGAGGTTACAACCTGCTAAAAAATGATGGGGCATATTACCCAGAAACTTCTAGCTATTTCCTTTGCCAGCCACAAAGATACATGCTGAAAGGCCTGAGGAAGGAGACAATTTCGTCCTTTTTTCTTTCTTTCTTTCCTTCCATCTCTTCCATTTCCATTCGTTCCTCCTATCTCTCTCCTTCTTTGTCTCTCCCTTCTTCTTTCCCATTTTCTCTTCCCCTTCTTCCTTTTTTCCCCTTCCCCTTTTCTTCTTTCCTCCCCACCTTCCTTCTCTTTTCCCCCCACCCTTTTCATATGGCAGAGACAGAGTTAGGAAGGATTTGCTCAAGCCCTCCTTTTTAACAGGAAGAATAAAGGAGGATGAGAAAAACCCTGCACCAAATAACCAGCTAATCAAGGACGGTTAACATTGCTGTTGCTTTGGTAGTTACTCTAAAAACAAACAAACAAACAAACAACTTGGGGTGGGGAATGAGGGGTTGGCATTTGAGAAGATTTAAAAACGCATCCTGACACAGCCCCAGTGACAGCATTCATTCCGCCATTCACATATCTCGAGGACTGCCCGAGAGAGGTGAGCGTGTGAGTGAGAACAGTGCCCAACCCTGGCAGCCTCTAGGCCAGCGGCCGAAAGAGAAGCGTTTCAGAGGCCAAGGTGGGAGCAGAACCTGGCCCCCAACTTCCTGGGAACCCACAGCGCCTCCTTTCCCGGGGCCCAGCGTCCATTCACCCCTCCCAGCGTGGAGGCCGTGCCCCTCCGCGAGTTACCAGCCCCGACCTCGCGAACCCATATTCCATCCCACCGCCCCCGCCTCAAAGCGAAGAGGTGGGCACCTGGGACGCGCGTCCTGCTTTTTCTGCCCGGGCTCTCCCGTCTCCTCCACTTTTGTCCCCGACGTCCCAGAACAGCGGAGCAGGACGCGGCATCAGCCCTGGGAGGGCGCAGCCTGCGAGCCTCCAGCGCGCTCAGGGCGCGGCGAGTATGCTAAAGGACTGCAATGGCCAGGATGCAGACCCCAAGCTCAAATTCCTGGGGAAGACACCCGCCTCCCTTTCCCTCTGTCCCCTCTCCGTCCTCGCTCGGACCCGCTCCTCCCCAGCCCAGACGCCAGTGCTCAGCGCTCCCTCGCTCGCCACTTTGCAAGGAACTTTGGCCGGCTCCCCTGCGCCACCGGGAGCGGGATGTTAATGAGAGAGCGTGGCCTGGCGCCGCGAGCTACCCGGCTCCCGGGTCGCGATTGGCTGCGGCGGGGCGGAAAGATGACGTTATGCAAATGAAGGGGCGGGGCATCGAGGCGCGGGCCCCGCCTCCTCCCTTTGGGGTTAGTGTGCCTGTGTTTAGCTCTGGGGAGAGTCAAACTGGATTCCATAGGGAAAGCCTGCAAATCACTTCTATTTTAGCAAGGAGAAAACAGAATCTCCATCCAGCAGGGTCCACCCCTCTCTCTTTCTCCCTCTCCTCTCTCTCTATCTCTCTTTCCCTCCCCCCCTTTCCTCTCTCCCTCTCTCCCCTTCCCCCCACCCTCTCTGGTGTATCTGTCTACGGCAACCAGCGTCCTCCTCATCTACACGCAAAGGAAAGAAACATCTTTGGTTGGGAGAGAAGGAGGAAAAAAAAAAGAGAGAGAGAGGAAAAAACTTGCCTGGTTGTGGAAAATGACACTTGAAGTAGCAAAGCCGGCAGCGCGAGTTGAGTCTATTGTTTCTTAAATTGCCATCAGGGTTTTTTTTTTTTTTTTTTTCTTTTTTTTTTCTTCCTGCTTCTTCAAGTGAAGGTACCTCTACAAAAGGAAACTCCAGCCCCTCCTGTCCTCCACCGGCCTGTGATCATTACAAAAAAAAAAAAAAAAAAAAAAAAGCAAAAAAAAAAAAAGCACCCAAACCAAAAATCAACCAACCAAACAACCCCCAACAGCCAAGCATACATCTCTAATTTTATTATTTTGGTCTTTTCGTTGGATTTTCCCTTTCTTCTTTTTTTCGGGTTATCGCTCAGTTTTGAGCAGAGGTTTACATTTTTTACAAATTTGCTTTCCAGCCTGCCTTGATCTTCTAAGTGCGAGTTCATCGTCCGAGAAAAAAAAAATCTCTGGTTGGCGTTTTTGTTTCTTTTCTTTTTCTTTCTTTTCTTTTTTTTTTTTTTTTTAAATTTTTTTTTTCAAGGGGGAGGAGATTTTCCACAAGAAAAGGTTGTTTTCATGTTTGGGATTCAGGAAAGCATCCAACGGAGTGGAAGCAGCATGAAGGAAGAGCCGCTGGGCAGCGGCATGAACGCGGTGCGGACGTGGATGCAGGGCGCCGGGGTGCTGGACGCCAACACGGCGGCGCAGAGGTGGGTACCGCGCGGGGACTGCGGCCGAGGTGAGCCGCGAGCGGGAGAGCCGGGAGGCGGCCGCGGCAGCGGCAGCTGCCGCCGCGGGGCCGGGCCGTGGGGTGCGTCCGCAGCCGCTGCGCTCCGCTCTCCGCCGGGGCTCCGCGCTCCCCAGCCGCTGTGCCTTCGTCGCCTGCGGCCGGAGGACCCGGAGCTGTCTGCGAGGAGCCCACGCTTTGCCAGCACTTTCCCCTGCCTCGTCTGTGACTGTTTTCATTTTGTTTTAACCCAGAAGAGGCGTCTCAACACAGCATGTTGGATATCTGTGTTTTATGTTTCTATGTGATTGCTCTTTCTTTTCCGGCCGGCTGTCTTTTCTTCTTTCCCTTCTTTCTTTCTTCCTTTCCCTGTTTCTTTTTTTCCTCTTTCTTTTTCTTTCTTTTCTTTTCTTTCTTTCTCTTTTCTTTTTTCTTTCCTTCTTTTCTTTTTCCTTTTTCTTTCCCTTTCCTCTTCCTGCCTTTCTTTTCTCTTTCTTCCCTCTTTCCTTTCTTCTCTCCTTTATTTTCTTCTCTTCTCCTTCTCCTCTTCCCTCCTTCCATTTCTTTCGTTCTTCCTTCTTTCCTCTCTCTCTTCCTGCCTTCTTTTCTTTCTTCTCTTCTTTCTTTCATTTCCTTCTCTCGTTTCTTTCCCCTACCTTCCCTTAATTCCTCCCTCACTCTCTTCCTCCCTTCCTCCCTCTCTCCCTTTTCTTTCTCTTCTTTCTTCAGCTTCCCTCCTTTCTCCTCTTTCTCCTTTCCATACCTCTCTGTCCCTCCTGTTTTCTCGTCCCATTTCTCCCCTGAGTCTTCTCTTATTTCTGCTATCTGGTTCTCCTTCCCTCCCTCTCTGACTTTCAGTTTTTCTCAGTCTACCGGTAGAATAGCAACTCCCAACTTTAATTCTGACATCTCCTAAAAGTCTTCTCCACCCCCTGTCACCATGGCCTCTTCCAGCCCCTCTCTCACTCGCAGCTCCCTAGACACTAGATCGTGTGGCCTGAAGGCATTGCCCTTGGAGGTTGACCTGAGGGAACTTTCCTGGGCACACCCAAGGCCCTTTCCCAGGCTCCTGGTCCCAAGTGAAAAATGGCCTTTTCCCCACCCTTAAGCCACCAGCTGAGCTTGGGACAGTGGGAGATTTGGTGGCCCCAGGCCTTATCGGACTCAGAGTGCGGAAGGGGAAGAAGGAAGATGACTAATTACATCATCTCCAGTTTCCCTGGGCTGGGGACAAGTGTCCCTAACACTGTTCCCATCCCTACTGAGTATTAGGATGAGGGTGGGTGGTAGTGAGAGTGAATTGGGTAACTGGGCTGGAAGTGAAAGTGTGTGCGCGGGGCGCTCGTGTGTGTTCGTGTATGTGTATGTGTATGTGTATGTGTGTGCCTGTGCGCGCTTGTGTTGGGCAGGTCCGGCTGTCAGTGGCCGCCTGGCGCCCCAGGCGCTCCAGCCTCCTGTCGTCGGCCGGCGCACTGAGCCAGCAGCCCCGGCCTTTAGGATTTCTGGAATGAGTGTGAGGATTTCTGCGGTACAGCGAAACTTTGTTAGGACAGGTCTTTAAGAAAACAGCCCTCTTCCCTTTTTCACAGCGACCACCCTCGACAGTTCTGAGCCCCGCCCTCGGACCCTTCTCCACATGCTTTTTGGTGGTGGGGGGATGTGGCTTCCCAAGGCCAGGCACTCGCAGTTGGCCGGAGCGCGAGGGGTTCCTGGAGGGTGGCTGCTGCGGCGAGACGCCAAGCGTGTTTTCCATCCATTCCCACCTGCCCTGCTAGCTGAGACGTGAGATTCAAGGGGTGCCGGAATAGAACTGTGGGTTCTATTCCGCGAAGGTGTGTTCACTTCATCCACCGCCACTTTTCTTTCTCTCCACGCAGCGCGTGTCAGGTAGGAGTAAATGCTTATAGCGTTTCATCTCGCGCGCAAAATCCAAACAAAACTTTCACACTTCTTCAGCGAGTTCTGAGGACGCACCCGTCCTTGGCGGAGAGGACCAGAACATGAGGGGACATATGTGTCCCGTCGTCAGCTGGGTCTGTGTCGCCTGAAGGGGCGTGAAGAGCGCCCACTGGATGTTTTGGGGGAAGAGGAGGTGGGTGTTTGAGGGTTCGAGTGTGTGTACAGGGTGACAAGGGGGCGCGGGTCGGCGTTCGGTTTAGCCATCTAACTCTGCGTCTTTGGCCGCAGCGGGGTGGGTCTGGCCCGGGCTCACTTTGAGAAGCAGCCGCCTTCCAATCTGCGGAAATCCAACTTCTTCCACTTCGTCCTGGCCCTCTACGACAGACAAGGCCAGCCCGTGGAGATCGAGAGGACAGCGTTTGTGGGGTTCGTGGAGAAGGAAAAAGTAAGTGGGCGCAGCGCTGTCGCCCCTCGTCCCCGGCTCGGCTCGGGAGCAGGCCCAGGAGCCTTGGGCGGTGCGCCTTTCCTTGAGTGCAAAGCATCCATAACACACTTCTGTGTGGGGGTCCCCAAGCCACTTCCTATCCTGGACGAACCCAGGGTCTTGGTCCACTGGCTCCTGCTCCAAAAAAGTTTACACAGAGCCCCCAGAGCTAGAGAGAGACGAGCCTGGCTCTACAATCCACAGCCTTGGGCACCCGGGATGAACCCGCCATCCACTACCAGATCATGCACCGCCTGCCTCTGGTGGCCCGGGCACTAGCCCCTAGGCCCTGGGAAGAGAATCGCCTGTGTGCGTCCTACGGAATTTTCTTTTGGGGGAGTGGGAGCAGTCAGGAACGGGGTGGGCGGGGTGGAGGAGGGATCACAATTGGCCGCAATTTCTGCTGCTACCGTGGCTGGCTGACTGGCCAGCGGGGGTCCCGGCTGGGGGAAAGTTGCCTAGAAAGTTGGTCCACTCGCTCACGCAGACCTCTCTCCTGCATCTCTTGTGTCTTTGCGTCCTGATGCAACCCAGGAAGCCAACAGCGAAAAGACCAATAACGGAATTCACTACCGGCTTCAGCTTCTCTACAGCAATGGTGAGGCCCGGGGCGGGTCTGTGCCCTCACCCTGGGGCTCCGGGTCTGGGCAGGGGGCACAGGGAGCTCCAGGTGGACGAAATCCTCCAGCGAAGGTCAGTCACCCGCCTTATTCGAGGTGAACCAGCCTCTCCTAAATTTCGCCCTAGGAGGTTTCACCTGAGGAGGCTCCGAGTGGCCCCAGAGCCTTACCGGTCTCGCTTTTACCTGGGGCCAGGTGTAGTGCCTCATCCATCCTTGAGCCACTTTCATTCTTCCTCCCCTATCCTGAGGCCTGTTCCTTTGGCTTGACCCAGGCTCCAGGCCCAAGTCCCCTTGAGTTTAGGGGCTAGGAAGGGTCATGGCCTTGAAGGCTGCAGGCGAGAGCAGAGGGCCTCTTGTGAGAATAGACAAGTCGGGGTACCCCCATCCCAGTGCCAGCTGCAGACCTTGGGGTCTGGCTTCCGGGAGCGCTAAGGCTAGGTCAGCAGCACCTCTCAGCAACTTCCTCTGGGGAAGGGAGATCCTGGCTGTATTTTCCAGGACAGTGGGAGTTCCAATCAGCCTTGGAGCCCCTTTTGTGATATGTTTGGGGGTTTTGTTGTTATTTTTTTGTTGTTTAGTTATTGTCCACCCACCCTTCATTGCCTCTCACTTAATTCTGCTCCCTTCCCCCATTTCCAACCCTAGGGATAAGGACGGAGCAGGATTTCTACGTGCGCCTCATTGACTCCATGACAAAACAAGTAAGTTTCTTAATTTTGGGCCACGGGGGTCTCTAGGTCACAAAATTCAGGACAGTAAAGAAGCCAGTTGCTCCACCGCAGGAGGGCTGGGACTCTAACTCTAAAAGCCAGCGGGGGCGGCTCAGACCACACTCGCACCGCCTTCCAGTGTCCATTCATGCGCTTGCACCGCCGCGTGGGGATGAGGGCTCGAGGGCGCCGTCCCTCCAAGGGAACTCGGGCCTTGTGAATTAAGACTGCAGGGTGCTGAGTGGCGAGAATAAGGGCTGAATTTCCTCTGACCCGGCCAGGGAGCCCCAAAGGGCGCAAAAGGTGCCCAGGGACCCTGGTGCGGAGTGGGCTGAACCTCTGAAACCCAAGCTAGCCAGGCCTCCCCGGGAGGCAGAGGGGCGAGGGGCTGCAGGGGCGGAGGAGGGGTGGCAGAGGCGGCTTCCCCAGGAATGATGAGATGGGCTGAGAGCGCAGATGACCGTTCTGCAGATTTGTTTTCAAAGCGAATGATGGTGAAGGTAGTGTTGAAAGAGGGAGCGACAATTGTTAGAGGATATTTTGCAAAAAACCCTCCTGCTTTTGCCTCCAAGTTTGGCAGGAAGCCAGGCAGCATGAGTGAGCTTGTGGTCTTAAAGGTACATAGACGGCATTTTCTTAAGCTTCCAACACGCGGGTGTCAAGCAGTATACATTAAGGTTGAGTTATGGTTTAAAAGATACAATTATGAGCCGAGTCAGAAAAGAGGCCTGACGTTTTAATGAGGCACAGGAGCTTTTTCCCCTTCTTCTTAATTTTAAGAAAAAGTTTAGTTTCAGAATTAAGTAGCTGGTTAGGTAGTTGGAGGAGTTAGTAGCAGAAAAAAGAAGACAGTTTTATTGGGTGGGGGAAAGAAATCAGAACAAAGAAAAAGTTATCCATTGTGTACTAACCAGCAATTTAGCAAGAGAATTAGAATTTATTTACTTGATTGTGATTTTAGAATGTTTCCTTTAAAATAAGAGAAATGATCTTCTTTCATAGATATTGGCTAAGAAAGTTTCAAATTAGGGTATATACGCATATTTAAAAATTGTTTTTAGATACACCACACTTAAATATGTGGTAGAAATGCCACATTAATAAGCTGTTGGGCATTAAAAAAATCTAATATTCAAGAACCAATTTAATAACAGCTATTTTTGATGATCACGTTCATATTTCAGTGTGACACGAGTAGAAAACAAGAGTATGAAATCTATTTGTTAAAATAAAAATAAATATTGATTGAAATCTGTTTCATGTTATTTGCCTAAAATATTTGGCTTTCTTAAAAATCTGTTTATTTCTCAGTTGATTGCTCAGAGTAAATCACCGTTTATACTTTTGGTCTTGGTTTTATTTTCTTTAATGGATTTAATCATTACATAGGATAATTCCCTTTCATTTGGGCACTGCATTTTTTTTTTTTTTTGCCTTCCAAGGCAGAAACACAAAAGCCTGATTTTTAATAATTTTTTTTTCTTTTGCGATGTCAAAATAAAAATGTCTTAAGTGGAGTTTTGTTTTCAAAAATTGCCTTTGATACCCTGGATATCTTTTCCTGCCATTCTCATTATAGGAAAAAAAAAAAAAAAAAAAAAAAGTTGGGAGGGAGAGGGGGAAAGTAGGAACTCTAAGACATATTCTCTATATATTTATTAGGATTTACTTTGTAAAAGATAAAAGGCACACCTACACAAATCAGTGCATATGACCTGTCTGCTTGTGCAACATTGACCAATGAAATATTAAATTATAGGTAGCACTATGAAATGAACAATTGTAAGAAGCACAGAATTAAGACATGTTTGAAGTGATTAATCGCTCTCTGATGTAAACCTCCTCAAAATTTTATTTTAAGTCTCTTTAGTCAAAAAGTGCCACTACTAACTGATTTTCCCATTATGGGATGAACTGACTTTATACTCATATAAAAATGGGGGGAGAATCGTCTTTTGATTTTTTTAAGGCAATACATCAAATATCATTTTACTAACAAGGTCATAGAGCTTAAGAAGAACTGCAGCTTAAGGCATTCTTTGACCACTTGGTGTCATAAATTCTATCAGGAAAGAGGGAGGAAGAGAGACAGAAAGAGAGAGAGAGAGGAATAAGAACAAGATTAGTTTTATTTTCGATAATAGCACTTATGAGAAAGTCATTTGCCATAATATGACATCTCAGTAAAAGTCAAAATTATAAATGCATACAATGATATATTTTGGTGGGGAGTGGCCTGAGAAAAGGTTTAATAATTAAGTCTAAAAAATATCAGGAAAAGAAATATCTCAAAGCATACCTGTGTGCTTTCATAATAATTGTTTAAATAACCACCTCTTTGTAGCTTTCACTTTGAGAGGCAGTTCCTACTCATTATCCAATTGCTTGTTCTTTGATTATGTTCTGCAAGAGTTTTGGAAGTAGGTTAGCTTCTTGTCTACAGGGTTAATACAATGGCCTCCAAAAAGCAGATAGATCAGCGTGAAGAAGCTTAACTTTCCCTAGGTGTGACATAAAAATAATTTATATTTAGCCTTAATGAGTAAAACAGTGAATCTTCATCTAACTTGAAATTATTCTATCATAATTAAATACCAAGTCTGATTTAAAATTTCTTGAATCTTTGATTTTAGTTTAATATACAGTGGCTCCTTAAATCAGATGTAAGCCTTGATATAAACTGATTGATTAAATGATTACATTTCTTTCCTGTGAAATTCTTCCTCATAGACTATGGATTTTGATAATTATTTAGAGTACAGAATGAAACATTTCTGGTGTGATAAGTTCTGATAACATCAGTTGTGGAAGGAATACCTAGCCACTGTTCAAGTGTCTTTTCTTAGCTGCCTGTTTATTATAACATTTTTCCTATCAGAGACGCAGCTTTATGTGAGTGATTTCATATCCTTGACTAGAAAGTGGGGTTAAAACGCAAACGGAATTTCGGGCAAGCAAAAATTAAAACTATTTGTGCATTCTACATTTCCATAGACTGTTCTTGATCTTGAGTGGAATCAGCAGCATTGAGATAAAAAAGAAATGTACTCAATCAACCAAGATGTATTGGTATGACACAGTATTTCACACCTTTTCAAAGTGTCTCATTAGACTATTTTGGGTAATGACTCTTAATTTTTGGACTCTTACAGGAAAGATGAAGCTTCATTAGAAATAAACATGTAAGAATCTGAGATCCCTTATCCCTATGCCTTCATTGTAAAGCACACAGGATATAATATTTTAAAAATTCATCCACCAATTAGAAAATAAGAGGCTTGCTTTTGGGAAGGGTTGTTCAAAACCAAGTTTAGCTGGACTAAAAATAGTTTGTTTTCGTGTCATTACTGTTTTTGGTATTCCATTAGTGAGCATGCAGAATGCCTTGTAGGACCCAGAAGTTTATGGCTGTTGCATCCAGAAACAATATCTACTGCAGAAGCTCAAATGAATCCAGTGGGGGAGGTCTGAGGTTTAGTGGGCATCCTGTCAGATTTTCATGTAGTATTTGAAATACGATTATATTCTGTGATTGCTATAGTGAGTTGTTTATCTTTAAATAGTTTTTTTTTTAAAGTTTAGCTTATCTCCCCTCTCACCATCTTGCTTTAAAAGAGTGATATTTTACAATTCAAAGATACCAAATTGTATTAAGTTATCAAAACAAAACACTTTCTTCCCCTAAACAAAAGCTTGTTTGAGAAGTAGAAGATCGTAGTCACATAATCCTTGTATGTATGGATTTGAAAGTAGGTGATGTAGTGAGGAGACTGTGAAAAGGGTCCCAGGACAGTGGGGGGTCCAAGGTACAATCATCAGAAATGCTATCAGGTTTCTCTTCCCAGCTAGACTTCTTTATATATTTGTTTTGATCTTCCCAGTACTTTAAGTTATTGATGCAAGTGTATTTTTTTCCTATTGATTGTTTCATTATATCCTGCCATGGCTACATAGATTTGATTAACAATCCTTTCAGTTCATGGTTCTTCATTGGTAGATAAACACATTTTCAGTATATCAATAAGTTCCCAAGGAATTCACTAGGCCAGCAGAGAGGTTCTTTCATATATTTGGGGACATAAACAAACAAAAAAGGACACAGCAAGTTTATAGTCAGAGGCCATATTTCAACAGCTTTCTGTCTCCTTTGGTAACATGTCAAAAATGCAGGTGATTTAAATTTCCTTGCACATAGAGGAATGAAGAAGTTTGGAATTTTTATGCATGATCAGGACCTGTGTTTGGGAAAATGTAAACTCATCACAGTGGAAAATGTGTTGTTTGGAGTCTGGGGGTGAAAACAAAGCTGATGGTTTTGGAGAGATTGCCGGAGCCAGATGGCCTAGTACTTCCCCAGTCTGGCGGGCCAACTGCTCCCTCCTGGATAATATACAGCCATTTGTTCGGGGATATTTACGCTAGAGCTGTTTCCATGTGAATGTTTGAACAGCATTAAAAATGAACATATTAGTAGAGATGCATTTATTGAACTCGTATGACTGTACAGATAGTCTGTTCTCTCTGTCTTATATTGCTGAGAGCAATGAAGGAGTGTTTGGATATTGGTGAATTGTCTACATAGTTGTTGAGCAAGAATGATCTGGTCTTAGTGAGCAATTAAAATACATCAATGTTTGGAATCAGACTAATGGAAATAATGTTAGCACCTACCTTGAAGCTCTGTTGTGAGAATTAAATAACTTCATACATGTTAAGGACTTAGAACAGCAACTGGTACAAATTAAGTGCTTAATAAATTAGATGCCTTTATTATTATTATTATCATTATTGCCCCATTGGGTTTACAAAGCCAATTGTATTTACTAATATAGGTGTAAATGTAGTTTCCATAGGAGTGAAATATCTTTTATTTGTGCTAGAAAAAGAAATACAATATGGGATTGTTAGAGTGATTTAGTTTTTTATGGTGTTTGAATAATATAAGCGATTTTAGCTCTTTGAGACATAAAAGATGCATTCTACAGCTAACT